CTAACCCTAACCCTAACCCTAACCCTAACCCTAACCCTAACCCTTAACCCTAAACCTAACCCTAAACCTAACCCTAAAGCTAACCCTAAACATAACCCTTACCTTAAATTGAATCGGCTTGCTTTCAAAGCGCTATTTAAAGCACCCTTCTTTCTCCGCGCTGGCTGTTGTCGCCCTGATGACGTCAGCGACGCGGTTTAATCGGGCGCGGCTTAGTCGAGCGCGGTTTTGACGGGTCACGGTTAAAAGTTACCCGAACTCAACTGTGTGGCAGCAATTGTTACTGTTAAAGGAAAAACTCTGAGACAGGAGGTGGTTGTGATCTCGCAGGGCTGTCAAACTCGTGGCCCACAGGCCAGATACGTCATGCGCTGGCTGTGCCCACACCTGGTTTAGCGAAGGGGAAAAAAAGTCCCGCTACATCATGTGATGACACCGTGACAACGCGAGTTTGATACCCCTGTGTTGTAGCACCATTAATGTGGAACACTGATGAAGCACCTGTAAGCCATCTTGTAAGAAATTGAGAAATGTATAAATGTTAATCAACTGTAAATACTTAACAAGACTCGTATTGATTTTTTTCCCCTTGTTGCCCAGAGAAAATAACTCAGCCTGCAATTTGTACACCAGTGTGTGGTATAAGTTTGCCTTGCTTGCACAATTAGAGAATGTTCTATCAGACTCAGGGGTAACCACTTGATGGAAGCTGTGCTCCACGGTGTTTTAACAGTAATTCCCCCCCCCCCCCCCGTTTCTCAACCTCACAGTTAGTAAGTGCAGATGCCAAAGATCAAGCATTCTTCAACTGAATCATATCTATTATCTTTCTGGAAGAGAAAGATATCTAATCGCCGACTGTGGTTTATAGATGCATCATTTGACCTTTCAAGCATCACTTACTATTCTTTTCACCCTGTATTATCTGGTTGCTTGAACTCAACTCAGGGTGAATTCTGACTCTGAACATTATCAGATCTTCACAAAAGGGGAACCGGTATTTTTGTAAGTAACCAGTTCTGGATGGCTGAAAATTGGAATAATTATGACAAGAAAGGATTAGCATTTTGGTGTGCCTTTGCTTTCATCCAAAGGCAACCTCAATTTTTGAGGTCCAAATTACTGGCCCTTACTCTTGTGAAGTGTACAATTTATATCTTTCAAAACGGCAGTCTGCAAGATTCAAGATTTAATGAATTTGTATGCCGCCCAATCCCGAAGGACTCCGGGCGGCAGAATCTAAGATAAAATTAAGACAGTCATTCTGAAATGAAATGCGTGGAAATATACATGCTTTCATTTCCAAATAAAATTTGCAGAGCATTAGTGTTTAAAGGAGGTATAGTTTATTTACTAACAATTATTCCAGATAGGGTTTGTTGGCATCTTTCCTTTGGACGTAAAACAATATTTACTTTAAGAGTTGCCATAGACTTTACAACATTGTCTACATGACATAATTAAGCTAAAATAAAATATACATTATAGACCCCAAAAGGGAAATGTAGGTTAATGGGTATACTAAAATTAAGCCCCTATATATACATTATACAACTGATGGATGCTTTTGTTAAGGTGCAGACATAATAGATTCTATGAAATGTCCCCCACATATACATATATGAGAATGCATTTAATATTTATAAATGTATATCAAAAACCAATAAATTTAGACGGCTGAAATTTTTTGTCATTCCTAATCCATAAAATGAATTTCCATATAAAAACATTTACAGAAAAAAAAAATTACATGATCCAAGTTTTAAAATCTGTACATATTATAGAAGACACGTTCCAGTTCCTTTGTTGGTCTGAGTCCATCTTTGTACATCTCAGTAAGATGCCATGTGAACCAAAGAACACTTAAACAACTGTGCATAATGGGAAAGGTCTGTCACGCGGTCCACCATATCTTGCAAAGTGGATGTGCTAGGATAATTCAAGGCGGCCACCTTAGTTGACATAACAATGCTTTTGAGCAAGTCGCACAGCTGGTTGCTGGAATTCATGATGCTGTTGCGCATTTCCTGAGTTGTCAACTGCCTAGTCAGGGTATCCCCAATGAAGACCAGTTTATGAGCACTTAAGATGACAAACTTGCTGTGAGCCACAAAGATCCTTGGGGGCTGCGCAGCACTGATGCAGCTGAAGAAGGCATCGATGGCGTTCAGGAGGGAGTTGAAATGAGTTTCACATTGTTCTGAATAAAACAAAAGAAGCTGCCTCTCTTGGGTGGCCACCAAGTTCTTTGTTGGGTGAAGACTTTGAGGTGACTTCCACTTTGAGATGTCATTTTCTACTGGCTTGGTGATTTCTTGTTCTAATCGCTGGAACTGATTCAACTGAAAGGCAAATAGGAAAGTCACCGCCATGTAGTTCTATCAGTGCTTAGCACCCTTACTTTTACAGTGGAGAATCCCAAGATTTATTTATTTATTAGACTTATATACCGCTTAATAGGGCTATCAGCCCTCTCTAAGCGGTTTACAAATTTTTTAACAAATTGAGTCAGCAACTTGCCCCCACAGTCCGGGTCCTCATTTCACCCACCCATCGGAAGGATGGAAGGCTGAGTCGACCTTGAGCCGGTGAGATTTGAACCGCTGAACTGCAGATCACAGTCAGCTAAAGTGGCCTGCAGTACTGCACCCTAACCACTGCGCCACCTCGGCTCTACAAGATGTTGCGCTCTACATGGGGCTGCCCTT